CCTCTGGGCTTTTAATCTATTTTCGCCCCTGCAATCCTACCCTGCCCGGATTTCTATGCATATTTGCCATCCATTCCCGGTTTGTGTGTTTGTTGTGGTAGCTATGGAGATGTATGATCAAATGTCGAACTTGGCAATTTCGGGATTTTCATGCGTCCTCCTATCGTTGTGATTGGATATTGCTTCGACAACACGGATAGAGTCTCCTGGTGCATGAAGATCCCCAGAGTTTCTGTCGGGTTGAAGGGAAATGTTCAGGCTGGGCAGTCCGACTACAACTTCAAAGAAGCCGGAGTCCTATTCCACGGCCAAGAATTTTGGAGGCCGTCGACCAGGTGCTGCGGGTTGTGCTGTGGGTGGGGCGAACTCCAGGAACTCCGAAACCGCAAATATAGAACAGCGAAGCGTGCTTACAGAAATGATGGTAAAGAGAAAGACCAGCTTCAAGTCCCTGACCAACCAACATCCTTGTCATGACAGATCAATACTGGGCCTATCAGTTCTCGTAACGGACGGACAGCGTCTCATTTTACTAGAATTAGCAACCTGGAACAGAAAAAAGGCGAAAGAAAGGTGAAGTTTCAATAGGTACCTAGCCATGGTACTAGCAAGCTCCCAATAAAATGCCCCGAATCCATCCTGTCGAACGCAACAACTACCCCAAAACATGATGTCCAAACCCAGCCAGCCTACAGAACAGGCTGCGTGGCCTTCTTCACCCCATTAATAAACTTCATCTTGGTAGGATTGGGCCCCAGACCACCTCCGGAGGTCCCACCAGCATAATCAGTCCTCGCAACAGGACCACCGGGGTGCTGTTCATCCGCTTGGGGCGCATGCCAGTCCGCCGGCCACTGGTCCTTGGGTTTCGAAGCGTCGCCCATCGGCATCCCCGCCGCAGTCTCGGATTTCGTAGCGGGTGGAGGGTCAGGGACGTAAGCGCCGCTGATGATCTTGTTCTTTTCCGTCCGTTCCATGCGCCGCGCGCAACAGACGAAGGGAAGACAGAAGATGGCTTGCAGTGGAGCGACGACCAGGCAGTTGAAGTACATGAGGAAGCATCCTTTGGCGTCGTCGCTGTCGGACTTTGGGGACTTGTTCATCTTGGACATTTTGTCACTGACTGACTTGCAACTGTATGGATTTTGGTGATCAAGGCAGACTTGAGACGAAAAAGAAAGTGTTTCAGGTTAAGACAATGGAAGAGGATGCGATATTGCCTGTAAGGGGTTTCTTTTTGTCAACAAAAATATTGAAGTGGTGAGTCTGAGTCGAGTTGACTTGAGTTGTGGTGAGGCTCTGTTGCCAGACATGAGGTATTGATCGCCAAGGTGACGTCAGCTATAGCGAATGAAAATGAAGGACATGCAAGTACAACAACCTTGTGTAACCAATAATCCTGATTGACAGCTATCGGTCCTACCTGAGTGCAGATTATCTGCATTTCGGGTGCCAATATCGGAATCCCGATTTCCGGTAGCCGTCTCCCAACACCAGAGCCTTTTTGTTAAACAAAATAGAATTCTACAGAGTGCGTTACATGTACAGTACCAATTACCAATCTAGCTCTAAACCTTAAAGTTCCAATTCCCAACTCCCAAATGACTCAAGTGACCCAAGCCTGCAATCACTTCGTCCCCGACAGCAAGGCGAAACTCCTTCAAGATCTCACTCCAGAGCTTGTCGCTCATGTGTCGCCCATGTTCGGTGTACATGGTCACCGGCCATCTGCAATGCATCATCACGTCAGTTAGCCGCCGTGCAACATAACACCGTCGTCCACCCAGGAAGGTTTATTGGTAATACTTACGCTCTGATCTCCCAATCCATATACGACCCATGGCTCTCTTTTCCCAGGATTACACTGGCATACACATACGTCCTCGCTGCATCCACAACTCTGCGGCCTGCGATCGCAAAAAAGATGTGAAACGCCATCCTCATCGCCCAGCTCTCCATGTTCCCCAGAAATGCGGTGCCTCTGGTCGCGCCGGGATTGCAGCTGTTGACGATGACCTCTTCCGGGTTGACCTCTTCAGCCAATCTCGCCGCGAACATGGTGATGAGCAGCTTGGAGGTAGCGTACTGCTCAAGCCCAGAATACGGGTCAGCCCGTTGGAGCGAGTCGAGTAGCGAAGTACCATCACCCGGGTCCTTGACGTCGGCTCCGAGACTTGAGTCGCTGGTGATAAACGTCAGACGGCCCGGCTGTCCATCAGCCGACGACGCTTTCAGTTTGGGCAGCAGCAAGAGGCCGAGCAGCGCGGTGGAGAGATAGTTGACCTGGAGCGTGACTTCGTGGCGAGGCTCTTCTGCTACGCGTTCGAACCGGAACTTGCCCAACGCGGCGTTGAGCACGGCGACGTGGATCCTGTCGAGTGATTTATTGCATCGTGCGGCGAAGACCTGCACGGAACGAAGGGACTCCATATCCAGGTGCCAGACCTCGATTTTGGCGTCGGGAAACTCGGCTCGTAGATTCGCGGCCGCCGCCTCACCTTTCTCGAGGGACCGCACGGCCATGATCAGTAGACTTGCACGGAGAGAGAGAAAGTGGCGTGCGCATTCTAGACCGAGGCCGACGTTGGAGCCGGTTACGAGGGTTGTCTTGCCCATGAGGTCGATGCCGGCTGGTATGGGAGGAACGCGGCGGGTTATTTGCCTGCCGACATTGCTGAGGATTTTTGCCTGGGAGGCGGCCTGCTTTTCGAGTTTGCTTGACATGCTGGCTGAGAGAATGAAGAGTGAGCTATGGGGGTTGCTTGGGACATGTTACATCTGGGCATCAGTGGGCTAACTCTTGCTTTAAATATGTCAAGACCGGATCTTCCTGTTCTTTTCACTTTGCTTAACTCATTCACGACATCATGGAGGGTCAAGTCCGCCCGTCGGGACCATTAGTCAAGTATGGGAACCTTTTTTTGAAGCCTCATTGGTCCCTTTCGTGGCAGTGTCGCCAAGGGATAAGTCTGGTAAGTCGCCTTTATGTGATTCGTCAAAAAAGTTCCCCTTTGACCCCTGTCGCCTCTGTATTGCTAAGCGAAGCTGGCGTCTCCCGGATTTGTCATCCCACTCTTCCCCTTTTCCAATTCATCAAGAGCCAACGAAAAAGTTCCCTTATTCCACTTCGTGAGCTTGCTCATCTCTGAGTACGGTAGTAAATTATCCAGCACCATGGAGCTGCCAGCATTGGCCCCTCGTCGGCCTAATTGCCCAGTCACGAGCAATGAGTCGACTCCAGCGCCTCCGCTGTCGCATACGGCGCAAGAATGGACAGCCATGTACCCTGAAATCAAGCGACTGTACGTCCACGAGCGTCGAAGGCTGCAATATGTGATGAGGTACATGGAGAGGGAGCACGGGTTCAAGGCCACGTAAGAAACTTCCCATATGCCATCTATCCTATTTTGGTTGGACCCACACGAGCTCAAATGGTTCTTAACAGATCCTATTCCATTTACTAGACAGCAAATGTACAAGAAACGATTCGCCAAATGGGGCTTTCAGAAGAATTCCAAAGCCAGAAATACTCCACCTCAGTCGACGACAGGCAAACGAGAGAATGAAGCCGCCAGCAGAGACAAGCCAAACCAGCTCGGAACGCTTGTCCCTGTGCCGATCCTGGACCATCACAACTATCTAAGTATCAGGTTCCTCACCAGCGTCCGGACATGGGCCGTATCATTCTTCGAGTCGGTAAAGTCGACTACCAACCTGAACACCACTGGGATTATCCCACCTCAGCAGCAGTGGCCACCAACAGCCCAAGCGTGGTGGTCCGCTAAGAGCGGTGAGACGGGCTTCACGTTCAAGTTGGTCATCGACCTGCTCAACCGAGGCCACGGTGACTTGGCGGGCAGGATGGCGCGGAAGGCTTTTCTCCTGCTAGAGGATATCCTGTCCCTGGAAGGCCCCGCGCTGGCCTGGAACCTGCTCGACATCATGCACAATATGGTCATGTTGCGTCAGACTCAACTCTTCCAGATGCTGGTCGCACACCTCGTAGCCTTGGCCGAGAGTCGGATGCTGCTGGGCGGAACGATGCATCCGCTTATTATGATACTGCGCAGTTTGGGCGGCTTCATCACCGCAGGGAGGACGGATGATCCAGCCATGATTTCGTCGCTGCTGGAGAGGGCGTGGGTGCTCAACGCCGAGATTGTGTTTGAGAATTTTGATCCCCGCCTCATCATGGTGTATTCACGAATGGACTGGGAGTCGTGTTCGATTGACCCGCCTCGAGCGCTCTTTGGTACAACGGGAAAGTGGATTGCCCAGATCAGGGCAGGGCACATAACACCACTGCCCGAAGTCAAGGCAACTAAAGAATTCCCGCCTGTGTCAAGAACCAACGCCACCACCATGGATGGAAAAAACATGCTCCAGATGCTTCTGGCGCCGCGGACAGACGCCTCACCTCCCCGAGACTACGAGAGGCTCCGGTCCACCAGCATCGCGACGCTGCGCGAGCGCAGCAAATCCCTTCTCTCAAACAACCAGACACAAACTTTCAACAACGACACGACGGCGTTGCTGGGGATGCTGGCGAGCTTGGTGACGGATGAGGTTCTGGAGCACGCGCCCAGGAATATTGTGAGCACGGGCGTGCCGAGAATTCATGCAGGCAACGTCGCGTGCGTGATCAGGACGTTGCTGAATCTGGGCCATGTCGAGGGGAAGGAACCCCTAAAAGACACCATCGAGAAAACCCGCATCATTGTAGCCCTGCGGGAATATGCGCAAGGGGAAACGGATCCGCAGGTCATCCGGGAAATGTGGGCTCTCAGAGATGCGTTGGTCTCAGCGGGCGAGTATGAAGAGGCCGAGGGACTAGAACGGGAGATCAAGCGGAGGGTGGGAAAGTATATTGAAGAAATTCCTCGTGGTTCTGCGCATACATGAGCAAAGCAGCCGAGTATGGTTGCTGAACTTGCGCTGCATTGAATCATAATCTGAACATGTGGGACTCGGTTACATCAAGAAAGCACGAGTCATAAGCAGCCCGATTAGCTCAGCTGGTTAGAGCGTCGTACTAATAGAATAATACTGTTCTATCAAGTCATGCGAAGGTCAACAGTTCAATCCTGTTATTGGGCAACCCATATATATCTTTTTACTCTCCTGTGTTCTTCTCGGGTTTAACTTTTTTTTTTTTTCATTCTCGTTCTTGTTGGAACGAATGTTGTTGTTTGTGGCTCAATATGCTGGCTTAACCCACCAATGACTTCAGCCCTTTCACCCATTTAAAGGAGAAAGCTTCGAAATCAACCCCCTTTGACTCATCAAGTGATCAGTATTGCCGACATATGGGATACTGACCCCCCACCGGAGGCTGCAGGCAAGAGAATCAAAGAATTCCTGAACAAGGTATGGCCCTAACTCCCCGGCCCATGCGAACCCAGAACTGTCACCGCCATGGGGCTTTATCATGTAACTTGTGATATCAGACCGGCTTCTGCCCGTTCTACTATGACGGATACAACGTGAATAAACCATTCCTCGAGGACTACCGCAATAAGTTCGATATGGAGGTTTACTTTGGCCCCTATATGCGATGGAAGATGTAAGAACCCATCCAAATACCCCCTGCTCCAGGGTCTGCGTGCAAAGGCAATGCCTGCCGCGAAAAAAAAAAAAAAAAATTCTGGGCTCTATCACTAACGAAATCACGCTTGCGAGCGCATAGGGAGACGGGATCCAAAGTGACCTTGGAACAAAAAGAGGAAGCTCTCCGTGAAGGAGCCATCTACCGTAAATGGGTTTCCGGAAAAGTCCTAGGCAAACATGAGGTCACGGCGTCGGAAACAGTCCTCATCATGCCTCTGAGCTGCTAGGCGCTCGATTACCGTGACGATATCCACAGGAAGGAACCTGACCCCCTGCCAGCCCATAGCGAGAGCTATCTCGCCTCCATATTACATTTGCCGCAGCTAGTCTTGCCTGGTGAGTGAGCGCGACATCCGATGGCATCTTATACGTGAGCGGAAAGTTGGCCGTTCCAACCCAACACTCCACTCCCCCTCTCCCTTTTCCCAAACGCACACACACACACACACACACAGAGAGAGAGAGAGAGAGAGTGAGAGAGAGAGAGAGAGAGAGAGTGAGAGAGAGAGAGAGAGAGAGAGAGAGAGAGAGAGAGAGAGAGAGAGAGAGAGAGAGAGAGAGAGAAAGAGACGTACGCAAGATTGAAAGATTCTCTGACATCCAACCGTTGCTCATATATATAGTTGGACAAGTACCGTATGACTCGCGAGCCTCTGGTCGCCGGGAATACCACCCCATAACCGTATCTCTTGTTGGTGCATCAGGTAATACCCCAATCTTCAACCCCTGATTCCCTCCCTCACCCCTTCCTGTTTGCTACAACACGCAAAGGGAAGGACCAGAATGCGAGAGGGATATTTAACAAATTATCCAACACCTCCATGAAGCGATCTCATGCTCATCAATCTTGCACGAGCAACCTACGCTCATGCGGGCTGGGGCGAGCAGCTGCTCACTGGCCGACTTGCTTGGAAGCTCGGGGGCGGAGTCAGAAACGTAGACGATGCCGAAACAAGGGGCGCCGAAACAACAGCCGCAGCGGCTGATCCAGCGCATCATGAGCTGTAAGAACATACGCCCAGGGAAACCCCCACGGGAGACTTTTGATATGGCGTTTTCCCTGGCACAGGCGGAGAGCGGGATGAGTGCTGTCGTCTACCTATTTTCCTACCTACCTAGTTACTTATAGGGATCCTTTGACCGAATGATCAAGCTCCGGGTTGTTATTATTATTCGCTCTTTTGGTACTGGTTTGATCTGTCTGGCAGAGGAGACTGAGATACAGCCTGCGGCGTGGAGGGAGATTCCCGTGCCCCTTTGAGTACCAGAAGTCGATGGTGGAGTTTATGGAGGGTGAGGGAGTGCGGGTTGATATCACCACGCTCGAGCCGGGGCATGTGCCGTATTTGACGGCAAAGCAGGCGGTGGTTGAGGCTGTTGAGAGGGCTGCGGCGATGAGATCATAAGTTAGGTTTTGAACGACACAGGTTTTTGTTGCTCAGATTTTTTCAGAACCAAATCCCGCTTTTACGCAATGCCGCACTCGCTCGCAGCAGCAGCCGAATGGGCCGAGATTTGGACTTGCATGTCAAGTGAGGCTGGAGTAATTCGCGGATGAGGCTAGGGTTAAATGCTCCGCCACGCAGATACGCCCCGGAGAGCGTGGAATACGCACTGCAGTACGGATACGGGGTACGCGTGCTGACCGAGGCTGCGGAAAAATCTTTCCCATAGTATAACTCGCAGTTTCCCAATCCACAGCAGAGTTACAGTCTTCATAACTTCAGGGACAACGGGGCGTATTTGTCAGTCACCTTATCACGAGAGTACCTAGCTTGCATCCGCTCGCTGAATATAATGTCACGTCACAGCCGCAAGCTTGGCAATACCTGGGTACCTTAGTTAGGTAACCAGAATAGCGTAATTGTACGCTCGTCTTATTTGGAATGACTGTGCCCTGATGCCCAGTACAAATGTCAAGACGTCTATAAAAGGGGATGCCCACTCAACGCAAGATGAGAAGCCTGCATCTCAATATCCCGCAATCGTTTAACAATCCGATACTTTCCCATTTTACTTTTACCACCATGGCGTCTGTTTTAGCATGCATTGTGGCACTCCTATGCGTTAAGAGGGGCAAAGCGTCACCGACAACCAACACACGGTCATGCGTCGAGATCGAGGTCCCCGTCAGTATCGACACCACTGCCATCAAATGGCTACAACCTCGAGTGGACAGCAACGTCGATGCTGTTGACTGGGTCACGTACCAGACGACCTGGACATCGCCCAACATGACCGATAGCATGAACGGCACAATCACCGTCAAGCAGACTTTCAAGATCAATGGCCAGCTCTGTGTTCCTCCTAATGGCAGCAGCAGATCTGGAATCCTCCAGCTCGCCAGCCACGGTGGCGGCTTCGACAAGAGGTATTGGGACGCCGAGGTCAAGTCGAAAGAGTATTCCTACGTCGATGCCGCACTCGCCGAGGGTTATTCCATCCTCACTTACGACCGCCTCGGAACCGGCCGCTCCGACAAGCCCAACGCCTACGACGTCATCCAACTTAACGTCCAAGTTGAGATCCTTCGTCAGCTCACTTCTCTCGCGCGCTCAGGCAAGCTCGTCAGCGCCTCCAAGAGGCTTAGCGGCAGCCGCGACGACCGCCTCGCCAAATACAAGCCCTCCAAGATTGTACACGTCGGCCACTCCCTCGGTTCTATCCTCTCCGTCGGTCTGATCACAAAATATCCCACCGAGAGCGACGGCATCGTGGCCACAGGCTTCCTCCACACCAACATCCCGCTTCCCGGCCTCAACGTAGCAACCTGGGGCTTCGAATTCGCACGCCAAAATAACCATGTCCTGTTCAAGGACCACGGCTCCGGTTTCCTCGTGCAAGCCACCAAGTCCAACGTCCAACTCAGCTTTCTCAAGAAGGGCAGCTTCGAGCCCGCTCTGCTGGACTACGCGTGGAAGATCCGCCAGCCCATCGCCGTCGGCGAGTTCAAGTCCCTTCTTACCGCCTTTGGCACCAAAGGCGCAAAGTTCAAGGGGCCGGTGCATCTGGTTATAGGAGAGAACGACTATGGTAACTGCGGTGGCGACTGCAAGGGGACTTACGACCTGAACATGATCAAGACGCAGATCTACCCTGCCGCCAAGGATGTGGCCGTGCATATCCAACCGAAGACTGGTCATGGGTTGACGTTGTCGACCAACGCCACGGCCGGATATAAGGCTTCGTTTGACTTTTTGCACAAGTCGGGTTTGTAAACAGTGTCTTTATCCATGCCTACAGGTGGACTCGCTGGTGTTTAATCGGCACTGGGTATCTAGGTTTCTTCGTTTAAACAGTATATATACAGACTTTATAGCATATAAATCTTTTCTTAAAACTAAAAATATCTCACTTCAGTTACCATTCGCTGCACATTTTAACCGCAGGAAGCTATCTAAGTCCGATTCATTTTTTTTTTTTTTTCCGACCAATTCTGTGAATCGTGCTTCAAACCAGTTCAATACGACAAACAATATGGAACCCAACACGTCGGGGGCGTGAAGCATGATTGGATCAGGGTTGGATCCCCTATTCGCCCACCTACAAGCAACTGTTGGGCTCCAAACTGGGCCGCACTTACAACGTTCAAGCTGCCCAGCTGGCATAGCCGGCCCATCCCTCCAGGCCACGTTGAACACCGTTCACAGCAACAAGTTGCCACCGCAAGAGCTCGCACAGTGCCCAAGCAAAACGTCCCAGATGTCTGCCATTCAGGAGCTTTCACTCAAAATCCCTGGCGCCCAAACATCGTTGGACCTGATGTGTCGCAATGCGTGGTCCCATCCCGTCGTATTATCCACTGGTCAGCCTGTCGACTCGAGCCAGCTCATGGGCAACTAGATCTCTGACCGGCTCATTCCAGCTGGTACCACAGCCATTTTGACAGTTTCTAACTTACATGCATTGGAAGCCAGCTAGACCTGCGTGAGCCAGCTCAGGGAAGGGGACATGTAAATAAAGACACCATCATCAGACCAGAATCCCCAACTTCTTTTTCATTCTTCAACGTTTGATAACTCTCCAAACTCAGCCAACGATCAATATCAGACCAACTTTAATACATGGCATTTGCAGCATTGCAATTCCAATTTCATCACAAATTGCTTTCGAGTGGCACCAAATGGAGTCCAACCTACACCCAGAAATCCATGATGTTTACATCGCGGTGGTCGGCGTTGCCGGGGCAGGCAAGACCTCGCTTGTCTCGACCTGCGCTGGCTGCGACCCGAGTCAAATAGAGCCCAGTAGGTCACAGAACCAACCAGGACCACCCTCAAGAGAGTTTCTGACCTTCTCACCACAGGTACAGACATCTTCAACGACGTCTCTTTCATGTACAACGACACCCTGCGCGTGCATCTCGTCGACACACCCGGGCTCAACAGCTCCGACGACGAAGAAGCCGAGGCCGAGGCCCTGCACAACCTCACCATCCAGCTAATGGACAGCTTCACTTTCTTCCAAGAAGGCATCTTCTTTACCGGGAT